GCCCCGCTCAGAACCAGGGCAACGAGGGGGCCCTGCTCCGACCCAGGACAATGAGAAGGCCCCACTCCAAACCAGGGCAGTGGCTTTCTGAAAACGGCACTCTCTGGGAAACAGCATCCATTCGCTGTAAACCAAGTGAAGCTATGCAATACTCAAAGAAGTTAAAAATCACATTTTTTTCTTTTTTTTCTGAGTAGAACTGCCTTCTAGAAAGAGCTCAGATCAATATTCACTGTTCTTTTGTTTCAGTAGTTGTCATTCTGTTCAATTAGATGATCTGAAAAAAAAAATGATGCCAAAAGTCTATGGTTTTTGGCTCTGTGGTTGCAGTACTGGCACCCAATTTGTTATCACTTCCCTATATCGTGACCTTAAGCAATCCTTTCCACGCTGACTGAGCTTGGCTGTGTGACTTGCTCTGGTCAATGAGATAGTAACATGCAGGACATAGGCACATACTTGACAAGCCCTTGCACAGTGGGCTCCACCTCTCTGGCTGCCACACGATGAAGCCTGGGACAGGATGGGTGACTGCTGGGTGATGCAGTCACCTCTGTTACTGCAGCCAGCAGCCTCTGGCTGCCCAACCCATCACAGCTAGCTATGGAAAAGTGAGTGAGCCCAGGTGAGACCAGCAGAACAATCACCCAGCTGAGCCCAGCTCAATTGTCTACCCTCAGAAATCATAAGCTAAAGAAAGAGTTGTTAAGGCACTATGTTGTGGGAGTGATTTGTTATGCAGCAAATGCTTATCAATTCATGACCGTTTATTATTTAATGGAATGGAGAAAAGAGTAAACCAAAGAACAGCTACTGCATGTTCAATGACACTTCCAACCAATCATTAGTATTTTGTTATTTACAGAAGAATAGAATAAAAAGCACCATAGCTATACTGTAAGAATGTTTCTGAGAAAATATCTTTGTTTTCAGAGAAAAGGGACCAAGTTAACCACTGTGGTGAGGCTCTGAAATCCTCCTCAGCATCCTGAGCCGCATACAGAAGCAACAGCAGCTGTAATGTGTCTCCATCCCTTCCGCTCAGAGCCTGTGGGAGGGCCATTTCTTGATCCAGGTGAGCTCCTTGGATGTCGACCAGAAAGTCTCACTAAAGTGCCTAAAAGGCAGCTCGATTTGTAAACAACTGGCTGTTCCATTGATGTTATTTTAGGAGTGCCTTTTGTGGCCAAGGTATAAATGCCAACATGCTCCATCTTACGTTATAGTCAAAAGTCACTAGAAATATTAATACAGAGTAGGCACTGTTATTATGACTAAAGACTCTTATTACTGTATTATTAAAATAATTATTTCTGATGGGCTTCCACTTTTGCTGCTAGATCAGAGGAGCAGGACTGGGTGGGAAAGTTACCTCCCAAGAAGTATACTATACTACTTGTCAGAGCCTTGGACCTACTAAGACAGACAAGTCTGTGTCTGCCTCCACCCACTTCCTAGCTTTTATTTAAAACATTGTCTCTGAGTAGATTTCAGACCCTTACAGGGTTCCAAAACCACATCTATTACCTGCTGAAGCCACTGTGTGAAAAATCATTGCAATAAAATGGATTCAGTAATTGATTGACAAAAATGTGGATTCAGATATACTATAAATTTTTTAAAAATTGCATTAAAATATTGGTTGTGTTTATGTGCAAGCTCCATCAGAAGCCCACGTGAGTCTTCAAGAAGGATAAACAATTCTTTTGAATGTAGTCCATTGTGAAGTACCAGGAGGGAGGCTAACTGAGGACTAAGAAGATTTGCTGCTCACCTGCTCTCCTCCCACCTTCTCCCCTCCCACCTGCTCCCTGCTCCCCTCCCACCTGCTCCTCTCCCACCTGTTCCCCTCCCACCTGCTCTCCTCCCACCTTCTCTCCTCCCATTGACCTTGGCAGAGTGTAGTTATTCAAGAGAAGTGCATGAATGCAATCGGGGTGGGGAGGAACCCACAAGGGTGAGAAAGAAATGATGGAGACATTCAAATGTCCTTTTCAATCTAGTTGGTTTCAATCAACCATCCCAAGCCTTCTATCACTGTATCACTGGGGCATATTGTGTCCTGGAGGGGATTTTCCAAAAACTCTTAAGAAAGCTGAAAATCCTCTGCCAGCCAGTTTGGCCCCCTGGGGGCTTGGGAACATCTCTGATCCCTTCCTTTCTACCCTCGCATCTCCATTAACGACAAATTTCACCTTTTAGATATTTCTTCACCATTTCTAATGCTGTCCTTATTCTCTCACCTGCCCTTATGACAAGCCCCCCAAAAGAGGCAGGGGGCACATCCAGTTTGGTCCTAGCCCCAGGCTGCCTCCCTTCTTGCCTCCATCTCCTCTACATCCTTGTCCCACTCCTGGTCAGAGCAGCTCCTGAAAACACAGATCAAGATCTGACCACAGCCCTTCTGCATGAGACCCTTCCATGGACCTGCATGGTCACGTGCAGGTGCCAAGGCCTCCTCCTGCGATTCCCAGGTCCTCCACATGACATCCTGCTCACTTTGTGTTGTCTTGTGGATTAAATGTTGGTGCATTCTGGCTCTTGGTTACTCTAACAAATCTATTCAGGCTTCCCAGCAACACGGCCTGTGTGGTGGGGCACAGCAGTGACCCTGAAGCAGAGGGGACAGATGCTCTGGGTGGGGCCTGGCTCTCCAGGCTCCAGGCCCCCCCCTCCCAGGGCTCCTTCTTGACTCTTTGGTGGGTCCCTTCTGTCTCACACGTATCTGAGTTTGTGACTCTGCATAAATCCAGTCTCCCTTAGGTGGCTGATAAGGTCCTTGCTGATGGGAACCCCCTCCCTCTCCAACCTGTCTCCTCCCCGTCTTTCCCATAGGCCTCCGCATTTCTGACCAGTTCCTCTTCCCTGCAGATCTCTGGAGCTGCTGCCTCTGTGCTCCCCAGGTCCTCTTGGACTGGAATTTCTCTGCCAGCTCCCCTCAAGCCTCCTCTTACTCATCCTCAAGATATAGCCGGGGGAGGGCTCCTGCCTGTGTGATGACTTCTGAACCCTGCATTGAGCTCAGGGCCCTAGCCCCTCTTCAGAGCTGATGGGGTATTCCGTTCCCATAACTCCTGGGGCTGCGTTTTCGTGCATTCGCTTCCCTAATTCCACTCCATGCGGGTTGGGCAGTATTTATTTATATTTCGCTGTCAGCAAAGCCCTCAGATCTTGCAAAACAGTAGACAGGGACAGAGGCTTCTGAACAGAAGCCAAGCATGCTCCCAACTTTCCACAGCTGCATCATGAGCACCCTCCCTTTACAGGGGTCACCAGAGGGCATTAGGACCTCCGCAGATGCCCAGGCATCACATCTTGGTCCTCTTCCATGCTACGACTCTCCACTCCCTGCCAGTGGGCTTCCCAGGCTCCACTGGCTGGGGCTGCACCGAAGTTTCCCTCTCCATTGCTGATCCTCCCTCCTGACTAAAGCCGGATCTCTTGGCTCCTAGTTCTCACTGAGGTCTCCAATCCTGATCCTCTGGTCTCCTTGACCTGCCACTCCCTTGCAATTTCTCCGGCCTTTCTATCAAGCGTGGGTCCCATGGTTGTGGGTCTGATTCGGCTCCAAACTTCCTCCCTCTTGCTTTCTCCTGCCTCCTCCACCTTCCAGGCAGAGTACACCTTGCCAAGAGAGCCTCACCTGCTAAAGATGGTCCCACACGGCTGGAGAAAGTCACGGAGCCCTGGGTCTGACCAGATCTTCACACGAACTCATACTGCAACTGGGCAGTTTCTCCAGAAGTCTTTTCTAGAATGGGCACTTCCCCCAGATCACTGCTCTAGACTGTCTGCAATCTCCCCACACCCCAACACACCCCAAGAGCTTCTCTGGCTTGCTGATACTCAGCCAACACGAACCCCTCCTTTCCTTCCTCTTCAACCTAGAGCGCTTGAAAGTTTCCCTTACCCCACCCTTCTCTTCTCTCCCAGGCCAGCACGTGGACTTCTTCTGAGAGGCCATCTCTCACACATACATGCTTGGAGTACAGCTCCTGCCTCCCCAAGACCACTCCCCAGCCGCCGGCCGCGATCCTGAATTTTCCATTCTGAACATTTCCTCTCTACTTACAAAAATGTTCTCACCTACCTTAGTGAAAAACAGACATCCCTTCCTTCCCCCTTTGGCCACACACTGCCTCTGAAGGTCGGACCTGTTCGGCGGTTTCCTCCCCCACCAAACTGACGGAAAACCTGGCCCAAGTCTCCCTGACATCACGTCCTGGGAAAACACCCTTGGCCTCACTGCAGCGGAAAGTCTGGGAGCGCATGGGCAGCAAACCGCTAGTCCATGGCCTGTAGCCGCTGCTCTCACCCTGTCACCCAGTGCTGCCCTAGGGGGCCAGTGTGCCACATACCCAGCAACCACTGTGCCTACCATGCTATATCCAATGTGCAATGTGCACATCTCTGTGCGTGTAATTCAAATGCTGTCACCTGCCCTCCAGTCCTCTAAAAAAGTCAGCTTATCTTCCCTTTAGGCTATCAGTACCTACACTTTCTTCCAGCGTGGTTCAGCTCTATCAACAATCTCTCAGTAGTAACTGTGGAATGCAAAGTCAAGGAACCACAGGTGACAGCAGAAACACCTCCCAAAGTGTCTCCCATCCAATACATTTCCAGCCTCATGTGGCTCTGGGATCAAGCATTCCTCCCTCCTCTTGTCAATGACCTCTCTGTCTCATGGGATGAGGGACAGCAGGGAAAACTGATGAACCCACCAGCACTGCCTTCTGCAGCCCCATCTGACAGCCATTACCTGGGGTCATCTCATACCAGAATCACTGGCTTTCTGTTAATCTAAGTCTTTCCTCTCCTTCTATCTTCCACAAGCATTCAAGAGTGAAGGGCACCAAGACTGCCTTTGGTTTCTGCATTTTTGCACACTAGCTTCATTCCCTAATTTCTGGGCTACAGTGTATAGGCATTCATGGCTCCTGCCCACCCTAGAATCCCCATCACACATTCCTAGAGGGCCTCTGACAAACACATCCTCTAACCTCCAGCTCCTGGAACTCCTCCTCCTCCTCCACATCGTAGGACAGGGTATGGATTTTTATGTCATCAGCTGAGAGGTCGATGAACTTCCCATCGGGGTACTCGAGGCTGTCTTTGGTGGGCGATCGGTCCTCGATGAAGGTGGTCTCGCAGCAGTCGGTGGTCACACCATCCCCCCAGGAACGCAGCACACCCTCTGAATAGAGGATGATGTTGGGCCTGTAGCGGGACTCCACCGACTGCTGCAGGGTGTTGGGGTCCAGCAGCTGCTGCACCGGCTCACTCCTGCTGCTGTCCAGGCTGGCCGGCACTGTGCTGGCCCCCACCCGGTGGCTCTGGTACTGAGGCGCTGGGTAAACAGACACCAGACCATCTCTGCTCTCGGCCATCAAGTTTCTGGTGTTAATTAAGCCATTCCTCTTGCCAGCATCACTGATTTTACTGTGCACCAGCATGCTCTTCTGTTCAATGATGCCATCCATGGTCCTCTCTCTCTGGCTAGGCGTCAGGCTGGCGGGCTGGGCACGTAGGTCACACTTGTCTCAGGGAACCCATTTCTCCTGGAGGCGGAGAAAACAGAGATGAGACAAGAGAATCACACTTAAAAACAAGCTAATCACCCAGACCCACATTGTTTCAGACTGTACCAATCAGCTGATAAATGCATAGTAACTGTGAGAGTTAGACAAAATGCAGTCCTACCTATTCAGTGAATGTTAAAAAGGATCTGTCGGGGTGGCTAGCCAGAGGTAGCAGAAACTGATTACCTGAATCTCTATAAAGTCTCTGCTTCCAAATGAAGGAGACTGCAGGAGCTGGCTCCCTTGCAGCCTAGAGGAACCTTTGATTGCTAGCAGACATCCTGAAACCCACGGGTAAACCCAATCACATTAGCATCCGACAAGTCCATAGGAAAACAGAACTGCAAATCTGTAATGGGGATTAGCTCTTCCCAGGTACATGGCTATTCATTCAAGCAGGAAATTATGTGATTGCAATAATCCCTACTTAGTGATGATCTTGAGGCGTCAAGTCCCAAACACGAATCTGCTACTGAGGCATCTTGAGATAGGCACAGCTTGGTCTCTTAGGGTGCTCTCTACAGTTTGCCACTCAGAATTTGCTGAGAACCGGCAGCATCAGCACCAGCTGGGAGCTTGTTGGAAATGCAGAATCTTGAGTAGCACCTGCATCTACTAAATCAGAATCTGCATTTTAACATGATCCTAGCTGATGAGTCTGCACATTAAAGCTGAGGAGGTGCTGGGCTACAGTGTATATTGCAAGTTTTGGCCTGCTGAACAAGTTGGCTTGATTTTACAACCGATTATTTACTAAATTTTAAAATGTACTCAAATTGTATCAAACTATTTTTTACAGAACAACTTTTTTCATATTGAAGTGAATTTTTTTTCAACTTTGAGTATCATAAATTATGATACGTATGAATGAAAGGGATCAAAATTAGTGAAATTTTATTTTTGTCATTGCCGCATCCTTCGATACCTCTTTCAACACAGGCTGGTTTGTCATATATATTGTCTTTGCTTCATAATTCCCATTAACTCATTTCCTTCCAGGTTTGCTGGTACCCACTCCCACCTGCTTAGAGCGTTTCCCTGGGCCTCAGTTCATCCACTCAGAGATGAAACTGGGTTGATGGGAGGAGAGAGAATGCCTCTGATGAGGCTGCCATCCGGGGTTATCCACATGGCTCTGCACCAATGCACTCTGGAGTCTTGCCCCAGAACGGTGCTACTGTTCCTCCAATTCCCTTTATAACTTTTGTGGGATTTTTAAAAAATTTTTTCTCAGTTGATGATATTCAGAACCAGTAGCTACAGAGATGAAAGCCTCCTGCCTGACCCTTTATTTCTGCATAAGCAGTCTCTGCTCTGTCTAAGATGCTCCCTTCTCTTGACCAAATGCTTTCTGGGCTGCATCAACCACTGAGTTCCCCGTGTCATCTTCTTATAAGACTTGGAGTCTGGTTTTGAGCTTGGCAGAGCTTTAAATGCATCACTGGCCAATTATGCCCCACCTGCTTCTTTATCGAGGAAGGCAGCTAGAGGAGGAGACAAGATGAAGAGGGGCCTCTGTGGCCTTGCATTTGAGTTCCTAGTTCTTAGTCTCTTTATCACCATTGTAAGAACTCTTCTGGGGAGTTACTAACATGCACACCTAACCATGAGTTGGGGTGAATATCAGGTGAATGGGAAAATTGAGGCATTGTGAAAGGAAAATAAAAGTCAGAAAGTAGGTATGCAACATATTCTATACAAATTTTATGATATATATATATATATTTTAACTTGGAGACTGTCGCAGTATAAAGAACACTTTACTAAGAGTCAGGAGGCCAGGAATTCAGCCCTAGTTTTGCTACTAAATATCTGACTGTGGGCAAGTGGCTTATGAAAGTGGAATTATTAATGGGGTGCTTGACCAAGAAAAGTTTTCAGGTCCCTTTCAGCTCTATGATTTTTTACGTCTTAGTCCAAGAGTTCTGGGGTTTTATGGCAATAGATAAGAGATTTTTCACAAAATGGCTTCAGTGGTGAATTGTAGCAAACACTTAAAGAACTAATACCAGTCCTTCTCAAACTTTTCCAAAAAACTGAAGAGGAGAGAACACTTCCTAAGTCATTCCATGAGGTCAGCATTACTGACACCAAAGCCAGACAAGACACCAGAGGAACATTACAGACTCATATCCCTTATGAACACTGATGTAAAACGCCCAACAAAAATACTACTAAACTGAATTAAGTGGCATATTAAAGGAATCATATACCATGATCAAGTGAGATTTATTTCTGGAATGCAAGGAGGGTTAAAATTATGAAAATCAATCACTGTAATACACCATATTAACAGAACGGAAGACAAAGATATACGATTATCTCAACTGACATAGAAAAAGAATTTAATGCTTTTCTACTAAGCATTTCTGGAAAAGCATGGATGCTTTTCTCTTTCATGATAAAAACGTGAAACAAACTAGGAATAGAAAGAAATTACCTCAACAAAATAAAAGCTATATTTGAAGAAATCCACAGTGAACATCATACTCAATGGTGAAAGCACCCATAAGATCAAGAACAAGGCAAAGATGCTCACTTTTCCCACTTTTATTGAACACTGTACTAAAAGTTGTAGCCAGAGAAATTAGGCAAGAACAAAAAATAAAAGGCACCTAATTGGAAAGGAAGAAGTATGATCTCATATATAGAAAACCCTAAAGATTCCACAAAAAATCTGTTAGAACTAATAAATGAAGTGAGCAAAGTAGCAGGATAAATGTTAATACACAAAAATCAGCTGCATTTCTATACACTAATAATGAAGAATCTGAAAAGAAATTTTTAAAATTCATTTACAATGGCATCAAAAAGAACACAATACTTCAGAATTAATTGAACCAATGAGGTGAAAGACTGGTACAATGAAGTCATCAAAACATTGCCGAGGCAGGGGGTGGTGGGTCATGCCTGTAATCCCAGTTCCTTGGGAGGCTGAAGTGGGTGGATCACTCGAGATCAGGATTTCGAAACCAGCCTGGCCAACATCATGGTGAAACCCTATCTCTACTAAAAATACAAAAATTAGACTGATGAGGCTGAGGCAGAAGAATTTCTTGAACACAGGAGGCAGAGGTTGCAGTGAGCTGAGATCATGCCACTGCACTCCAGCCTGGGTGACAGAGCAAAACTCCATCTCAAAAAAGAAAAAAAAAAAAAAAACTGCTGAAAGAAATTAAGGAAGACATGAATAAATGGGAAGAGAGTCCATATTCATGCATTGGGAACCTTGATATTGCTAGGATGTCAATACTACCCAAAGTTATCGATAGATTCAGTGTGATCAGTAGCAAAATCCCAACAATGTTGTCTGCAGAAACAGAAAAACCCATTCTAACATTCACATGGAATCTCAAGGAGCACAGGCTGGACTTAGAACAAAGTAGGAGTACTCACACCTCCTGATTTTAAGACTTACTACAATGGCACTAGAATCAAAACAGTGTGATATGGCATAAATACACATATATGGACCAAGTGAATAAAATAGAGAGCCCAGAAATAAACACTTGCTTATACAATCAAATGATTTTTGACAAGGGTGCCAACACCATTCAATAGGGAAAGGACATTTTTATCAACAAATGGTGCTAAAAAATTGGATATCTACATGCAAAAGAATGAAGTTGAACCCTTACCTAATACCATCTTCAAAAACCAATCCCAAATAAATCAGTCACCTAAATGTAAAATCTAAAACCATAAAACTCTTAGAAGAAAACAGGGCAAAAGCTTCATGACATTGGACTTATCAGTGATCTCCTGGACGTGACACCAAAAGCAGAGGCAACAAAAGAAAAAACAAGTTGGACTTCATAAAAATTTAGAAATTTTTGTGCATCAATAGACAATATCAACAGAGTAAGAAAGTAAGCCACAGAATGGGAGAAAACATTTGCAAATCATGTATCTAATAAGGAATTAATACCCAGGATATACAGAGAATGGCTAAAACTCAACAACAGCAAAATCTGATTCAAAAATTGGCAAAGGACTTGAATAGACATTTCTCCAAAGAAGATATACAGATGGCCAATAAGCCCATGAAAAGATGCTCAACATCACTAATAATGGGAAATGAAAATCAAAACTGCATATGAGAGATGACCTCATACTCACTGGGATGGCTACTGTTTTTTTAAAAAAACAGAAAATAACAAGTGTTGGTGAGGATGTGAAAAAACTGGAATCCTTGTGCACTGCTGGTGGGAATGAAAAATGGTTCAGTCGCTTTGGAAAACAGTATGGCAGTTCCTCAAATAATTAAAAATAGAATTACCATATGGTCCAGAAATTCCACTTCTGGATATATACCAAAAGGAGTTGAAAACAGGGTCTTGAAGAGATATTTGCATGCCATGTTCATAGCAGTACTATTCATAATAGTTGAAATGTGAAAGCATCCCAAGTGTCTGCGGATGAATGGATAAGCAAAATGTGCTATCTACATTCAATGGAGTATTGCTCAGCCTTAAAAAGGGAAGGGAATTCTGATATAGGCCACAGCATGGATGGACCTTGAGGACATTATTCTAAGCGAAATAAGCTACTCACATAAAGACATATGCTGTAGGATTCCATCAATATGAGGTACTTAGAGTCATCAAAAGTACTCAAAAGTCACCAAAAGTGTGGTTTCCAGGGGATGGGAGTGGTGTGAGGAGTTATTATTTAATAGGTGTGGAAGGAAAAGGGATATAGAGATAGACGGTGGTGATGCTTACACATTATAAGTGTACTTAATACCACCAAAATGTACACTTGAAAATTGTTAAGTTGGTAAATTTTATGCTAACATAATAAAAATTAGAAAAACTCAATTAAACTGAACTAAAAGCAAACATAAAAAGAAGAGCTATCTATGTGGAGATTCATGCTAAAGTATTTAAAGATGAAATAAAAGATGCACAGTCTGGGACTTTTTAAAAATCATCTGGATTGGAAGGAGAAGTGCACACCATACCAAGAAAACAAGACTG